TTATACTTAGCCTTTTAATAGCGCTGGCAGATCAATAAAAAGCATTGTTGTTAGTTCCATAAAGAAATTCCTCAACATTGTGAACTTATAGTACACTTGAACTTGTACATATTTAAGCATGTAACGTAGCTTGTAACATACTTACGCTTGTATCGTACTTAAACTTGTAACATACTTGAATTTATAACATACATGCACTTCTAACATACTTGAACTTGTAACATACATGAACTTATAACATACTTAAACTTGAAAACTTGTAACACATTTAAACTTGTATATACTTGTACTCGTACCTTACTTAAACTTGTACATATTTAAACTTGTCACACATATATAAACTTGTAACATTCTTGACTTAGAGTATACGTAAACTTATAACAGACTTAGACTTAGAACATACGTAAACTTGTAACTGAATTATTTGAACCACGGTATTATTACCCCTGGGTAAGGGCCTTGTACTAAAGATGATGTGAATACTTCTACATATATGAAAAATCATTAAGTTAATAGAAACAGAGCTTTTCTTGTTATATCATGTCATTATCATGCACTTAACAAAATAGAATGATTCATATTCTTATGTGGTTGCATACTGATGGTAAACCTTTACATTCATATCATAGATTCTAAACGATCTTGGGTCCCTTCGTAACATAATCTTAAATTCACACAACATCATTCTTCAAGGCTGAACATAAGTTCCACTTATTCTTTAAGAAATAACATACTATACTGATAAATAACAAAGGGCTAATATTCGTCATTAACGGAATATAAGGATTCCAAAATCATACCGACGTACGCAAATCTTTCAGCGTTCATATAAGTTCACGTTGCTTTCCAATTGTCATAAATGTTTGAAGAATACTTACAAAGAACAGAGCATTAGTGACAATAATTGTCAATAGTATATAAGATGTACATTCTTGTACTACTACTCACAGTGCTACAACGGAGTGTTTGCCCCTCCTGGAGTGTGCCCTGCACACATTCAAACCTTACAATTTAGTTCCCTTTTTATATCAAATTACTTTCTGTTTCGTTTTACTTCGAAGGAATTATACATATTAAAAAGGCATCAAATACATATTCCGACAACATTAGAGGATTCTACACGCAAAACTGAGCGATCCGCGTTTTTCAGCATGGGCCGCACGTGCGGCTGTTAGCCCCGCACGTGCGGCAAACTCCCCCGCACGCGCGGTAGAATGCCCCGGCACGTGCCTTTTAGGCAGAACCAAACCCAAAATTTCAGCATTTGCCGCACGTGCGGCAGTGACTCCCGCACGTGCGGCGATTCCCCCTTTTGGTCCGAAATTTGCATCAAAATCTCATCTTTTGGAGAATGTTTCCAAGGCTCAAGGATGGATCTTTTCAATGCTAAATCATGGTTCAAAAACATGTAATTCAAAGCATCATATACACAATCTAACTTGCATTAATCATGAACACAACTCAATTTAATCAACCAAGAATTGAAACTCATAAACATAATTCCATTTCTTGAAATTCTTAACTTCACTTGTATCTAACATAACTTAGAGACTCAAAATCATGATCAAAAGAATGAATACCAATTGGATGAGGAAAGAGACACATAAATGATAGGATTTTCATACCAAAACTTCACCATGCACAACCAAGATTCTCATCACACTCTAGATCATACCCAATCAAGAACTTTTTATTTCAAATTGAGGAAGGGGATTGGATTAGGGAATTTAACCTTACCTTAGCTTCAATCTCTCTCAATTCCTTCTTGTTCCTATCCTCTCTTCACTTTTCTCTTCCCAGGGAAACTTATGAGAAGGTTCTGAAGTCTTGTGCTCATATAGACATATATATAGAGAGAGCAATCGAATAAGGACGAAAATCAATCGTTTAAACATCCCAAATTGAAATTTCCCAAATATGCTTAATATTACCTAAATATTATGCTGATCACATATATAAAATCAATTTCAGATAATTAAGCCCTTAAGGCCTCCAATTTCTGATTCAAACCTTCTAATGTAACAGATACTTTTCTTGTTGAACAGATAGACATCCTTAAACATGGGATTCACTTACGTAACCATAATTCCACACGGAATTTCGCAATAAGCATATAAATATACAGAATGAGGGAACTGAAAGTATACCAGAATCATAGACGAGGGTCGGGTTATTACAACAACTTAAGCATGCAACAACATGTCATGGACCAAGTACACAACAAGGCACAATTGAACTGGCATGCTACAACATGCAATTTACCAAATATGCAACAAGCATGTGACAACATACAACGCGAGCATGCAACAACATGCGGGGATGGTCTTAAACCGAAATGGACAGCTCTTAAGTAGGTCCAAATCAGTGGCCAAAATGATGCAACAAAGGCATGAAATATACATACAAACATGCATGCTAATTAACCTAACACTTAGGCATAAAAGGGCGACTTTTAAGCGCACCTAAAAGGGGACAAATATGGACATATGATAAACATGATAAGCTCTGAAATCATGTTAGGGATGATGCCCAATCGACCAAATAATGCAAGTAAAGCATGCAATAAAGCCCAAAACTTGAAACTAGCCAAAGGACTAAAGCCAAGCCAAGTAAGGCATGCAATAATATTTTTATATATTTTTGTAAATAATATTTGATTGACAATTGTTACAAGGTACATATATTATTCTTGGTCTATGATTTTTTGAATGTGGATTTGGATGTGGATGTGGATGTGGATGTGGATGTGGATGTGGATGTGGATGTGGATGTGGATGTGGATGTGGATGTGGATGTGGATGTGGATGTGGATGTGGATGTGGATGTGGATGTGGATGTGGATGTGGATGTGGATGTGGATGTGGATGTGGATGTGGATGTGGATGTGGATGTGGATGTGGATGTGGATGTGGATGTGGATGTGGATGTGGATGTGGATGTGGATGTGGATGTGGATGTGGATGTGGATGTGGATGTGGATGTGGATGTGGATGTGGATGTGGATGTGGATGTGGATGTGGATGTGGATGTGGATGTGGATGTGGATGTGGATGTGGATGTGGATGTGGATGTGGATGTGGATGTGGATGTGGATGTGGATGTGGATGTGGATGTGGATGTGGATGTGGATGTGGATGTGGATGTGGATGTGGATGTGGATGTGGATGTGGATGTGGATGTGGATGTGGATGTGGATGTGGATGTGGATGTGGATGTGGATGTGGATGTGGATGTGGATGTGGATGTGGATGTGGATGTGGATGTGGATGTGGATGTGGATGTGGATGTGGATGTGGATGTGGATGTGGATGTGGATGTGGATGTGGATGTGGATGTGGATGTGGATGTGGATGTGGATGTGGATGTGGATGTGGATGTGGATGTGGATGTGGATGTGGATGTGGATGTGGATGTGGATGTGGATGTGGATGTGGATGTGGATGTGGATGTGGATGTGGATGTGGATGTGGATGTGGATGTGGATGTGGATGTGGATGTGGATGTGGATGTGGATGTGGATGTGGATGTGGATGTGGATGTGGATGTGGATGTGGATGTGGATGTGGATGTGGATGTGGATGTGGATGTGGATGTGGATGTGGATGTGGATGTGGATGTGGATGTGGATGTGGATGTGGATGTGGATGT